TAGATTCTAAATGGATTATCGAAATTTAGTAATTCATTTGGAGTTCCTAATATTTTTGTAGCGAAAAGAGATTTCCAATAAGAGGTGGTGGCCAATGATGATTATTATTGGTAGGAGGTGTTTGGCGGTGGGAGCTGCTTGCTAGTTGCGGGAGGTGGTCACCAGAAGAGGTCAGAGGTGATGTTGGTCGGAGGAGGAGGTGTTTGGACATGACTATGGCTGCAAATGAATAGTGTCGTTTATGAGCAGACTTGAGCTCGGCTCGGTAAGGGTTCGTTCGAACTCGGTTTGTTAAATTTTTATCACGTTTAGACTTGAACTCATTAAAATCTTAATAAATAAACCCAAACATACTAAAGTTCGGTTTGTTAGCTGACTCGTTTAACATTTATTTAAATAATATAATTAAATAGATTATTTATATATTAAATAATGTAAAAATATGTATAAAATAGGATAAATATGTTATTTATATATTTAAATAATATAAATGTAAATAATAGCTATATTTATTTATATGTAAATAATAGCTAATTATATTTATATAATAGTAGTTGTAGATATTATTATTTTGGTAAAATATTGATATATTTATTTTTAGTATGTTTATATATATTGCATATATAATTCTATAATCAAAATTGTAATTATAACTTTAGTCTCATATTAAGTGTGAATTTATATTTTTTTGGCTTGTTAAGGCTTGAATTGAGTCAAGCCTAAGCCAACTCAGTTCGAGTTTAATTCGTTAAATTTTTATTTAAAATCTTAATAAATAAATTCAAACATATTAAAGTTCGGCCCGACTCAACTCGTTTGCAACCTTAGACATGACTAACAAATTTTTAATAAAAAGATAATTAAGTTTATGTGAAATGTAATTTGATGATGAAATTGTTAAATTTTTAAGGGAAAATAACAGTGCAGTGGGTTTCAAAAAAGTTAATTATTAAAAATTGATAAATATGAATAATTAAAATCATAAATATTAAAGTGTAATAATTTTTAAAAACTAGCGTTGATAAGTAATTTCCCAAATTTTTAATAATCGATTTTATCTGTTGTTCATAATTTTTATAATAAATGTAATCTGATGATGAAACTGTAAAGTTCAATCAACTTAATTTATTTATTTTTTTTTTGTAAAAATAATTTATTTAATAAATTTTATAAATTGCACAGTTTAATTTATTAAAATGAATCAATAGTGCATTTAAACAAGAAAAATGCTAGATATATCAAAAGTTTTATTAAAATTTCTATCAAATGTCTCACATGGATGTGGAACCACACTATATGGATCACACACTCATGTGAGATATTTAATAAAAAATATTAATTAAATTTTTAAAGTCTCTAACATTACTCTTAAAATAATACAATTTGTATCATAAAAAATACTTTTGACGATTAATTTTGGACCGCCAAATCAACCATAAGTGGGGTCTCATGAGTCACATCACTTAAAAATCTCATTAAAATATAAAAATTGTTTAATAAGTACTTGTCATGTAATTAAAGACGGGTTGTGGTAGTCCAAAATTGATAGAATGTAACATTATATTTGTTTAGATGGATTAGATAAGAGAGGATTAGAATCTAATAAATTGTTAGTTCTAGATAAATAGTTTTGGGACTATTTGGCTAAAAATGATATGTATCTCATGTTTGTTTTGTCATGAAATTAGATGTCTAAAAAGAACTATTTTAATAAATCTTATGTTTAATTAGAAAATTATATAAAATGATAACTTCTCAAAAACTATTTTGTCTTTTTGAATTATTTACAATGACAATGTTAAATTTAAAATATATTTTATTTTAGTAAGACCACTATTAATTTTATTTAAATGCAACATTAGAAATATATTTTCATTTATAATTTTGTTAATACAAAAAAAAAAGAAAAAAGAAAAGAGAAGATTATTATATATCATGAGATTAATTTATATACATGTTAAAAAAAATTTAAAAAAATAAAGAAAAAATATGTTATATATTCTTTTTATTTCAAATGCTCAAAGTATATTTCCTTTTATTATTTTGCTAATACCAAAAAAATAAAAGAAAATAATTATATATCACAGGATTAACATATTTAAAAAAAAACTCAACATGTTTAAAAAAATAAAAGAAAGAAATGTATATCCTTAAGGGGTCAATTTTGTCATTTAACTAGTTAATAAGAGATTAGTTCAATCGGTCCATTTCTATGCCACACTCCCTATGGGATAAAGTTATCCCGCATATGATAGACTATTAGTTCGACTTTCATTTTTCTATCCAAACATGGAACTAATTATTTCATTAGAATGGAGTCTAATCTCATGGTTGTATCCCATCAAACAAAGGTGTTTGTTTGGTGGGATTAAGACATAGAATTGGACTCGATGTCCAACAAAGTAGATAATCTAATATTTGGTTGAAAAAATGAAGGTCGAGACTATTAGTCTGGTCGAGCTAATAATCTTCTATATGTGGGATAACTTGATCTCATGGAAGGGTATGGGATAAAAATAGACGGATTGAGCCAACCTCCGAATTAACTAGTTAAATGATAAAACTAACCCTCAAGTATATATAAAATTTATTTCTTTCATTTTAATTTTTTTTTTAAACATGTTGAATTATTTTAAACCTATGTAAATTAATCTCATAATATATAATAGTCTTCTCTTACTTTTTTTTCTTTTTCGTATTAGCAAAATCATAAATGCAAATACATTTCTAATGTCGTATTTAAATAAAATTAAAAGTGTTTTTTTAAAATAAAATAAAATATATTTCAAATAAAAATTAAATTAAATATACTTTAAATAAAATAAAATAAATTATACTTTAAATTTAAGTATTGTCATTGTAAACAATTTAAACAATATACTTCATAATTTTCAAATCAATCAAACATGAGATTTACTAAAATAGTTATTTCCATACATATAATTTCATGAGAAAATAAATATGAGATACACATAATTTCCAGCGAAATAGTCTAGGAACGTATTTCAAAACTATCAATTTGTTACATTATAATTTTTCCATATTCAATCTGTCCAAAAAAAACATGTAATTTACAATATAAACAGAAGACAAGCTGATGTCATTTTAAGAATAATTTTGAACGTATATTCTAAGTCTAAAAAAATCAAGGGGAAAAAAAAAATCTTTTGAATATGAAAAGCAAAAACGGCAGACAAAAAAGCGATCCCACAAAAAAATAAAAATAAATAAATAAATAAATAAATCTAAATTCTAAATAATATATTAAATTTTTTACTAAAACTACATATGGATCCATACAAATTCACATATATGTGACTTCTACGACATATAAGAGATTTGATAGAAAATTTGATAAATTATTTGAAATCCCTAACATATGAATCCATACAAATCCATATATATGTAAATCCTACAACATATAAGAGATTTAATCGAAAATTTGATATATTATTTGAGATCCTTAGCATAATAAAAAATAAAAATAAATAAAAAGAGGGTCGATTTTCACCCCCACGCAATGCACGAGGCCATAACAACACTGTACAAACTCATCGGGCAGTAGTCCGAAAATAAAATAAAATAAACATAATTTATTAAAATGTGTTTGTTTAACTATTAACAAGTATTGCTTCATCTTTTTACTTATCAATCTGTATTTACTTATCAATCTGTATATAATTACCTATAACAAGTATTACTTCATCTTTTTACTGATCAATCTGTATATAATTACCTATCTAATTATAAAATCATACAAATATATTTATTTTAGAGATGGTTTAAATAAAAAATTAAATACAACGATATTTTTATATCATTAGATTTCGTTTGAGAAATGAGTTGATTTTTTTGACTAACTTGGGATTAAAAAATTCATTTGGATTGACTTTTGTGAGATAAAAAGTAAAATGATTATGATTAAAATGTGATATTTTATCTAATTAACTTTTTAATCAAATTTATTTTTTTGTGACTAATTTAATTAAAAAAAAATTAAAAATCCACTTAGCAAACGAGGGCCTAGTATTACCATTGTTGCCATTTAACTACCTATAAAGATTTGGCAAAATAGTTATCAACTTGAAAATGGAATTCAGCATCTAAAAATTTCAAGTGTTTGAAAACATTTAAATAAGAGGCATTTTTTTATGAACTTTTTTTTTGTCAAAATTATGTTAATGTGTTTTTATTCGAGACGAGTCTAAAAAATAAAAATATTTTGAAAATTTTAAAAAAATCTTCTTTTTTTTTGGTCATTTCTAATTTATTTTTTTTAAAAAGAACTTCAAGACAAAAAATAAACTAACACCAAATATGCATGGTTAGTAATATCTTGTGTCAATAGTGATGTAACATTATCGCAACGCTCAATTTTTATTGATGGAATCTACAAGGATTAAAATGATATATTTTTATAATTATAAAAATTAAAATATGCAAGTTCATTTAAAAAAAAGAAAAAGAAAGTAAAGTAATATTTAAAAAATAAGAAATTCTAATATATACTAATTTAAAAGAACGTATCATATGTACTCTTAATTATATCATTTTCTTTTTTAATTATAATCAATTTTTGTTTTTAATTATAACATTATTTTAGTTATGACATTTTTTAAAATTTTTTTAGTTATAACTTAAAAAACTAAAATTATATATATATATATATATATTTTATAATTATAAGATATATGAGTGTTTCCTATTATGCTTTAGGTGGGTGTTGATGTAAATAACTATTTTTAAGGAAAATTCTAATACATACCCCTAAAAATAGTGTATCATATGCATTTTTAATTATGTTATTTTTTTAATTAATTATGACTTATGAATTTTTTAATTATACTTCATATTATGTTTAATTATGATTTTTTTTTAATTTTTAATTATAAGATACCAATCATGCAGCATACTATTTTCTTATTTTAAAATCAAATTCAAGCCAAAAAGGCGCATGCAAGGGTGTTTCCTATTTTAAAATCAAATTCACACCACAAAACAGATAACAACAGCACAAAACTCGCAACGTTGTCTGATTCCCATTTCTCACACTATTATATACCTCGCCAGTCTCTCTCTACAAATTCATCTTTCTCTCTCTACATTTTGGTCTCCATTGGAGAGCTTTTCCTGCTTACCCTCCTCCGCCACAACCTTCCAACTATGGCGGAACACGATCTCATCAGTCCTCTTCTCACCGAGGACCGCCTATCTCAACCCGCCGATGAACCCCAAGTCATCATAACCGTCGATGACGATCGGAATTCCAATCAACCCAACATTCAAAATGATCAAACAAACAATACCCATTTGGGAATTGAGAATCCATTCGAGTTTCTGGGTGCTAGGCCTGTCGAAGTCCCTGCGACTTCCACGATCGATCCGTTTAGGAACCACACGCAGAGGATTGAAGGGGTTTATGAGTGGTTGAAGATCTTGATTTGTGTTCCGATTGCGATTGTGAGGCTCGTGTTGTTTGGGTTGTCTTTGTTGGTTGGTTTTGTGGCTACAAAGTTTGCTTTACAGGGTTGGAAGGATAAGCAGAATCCAATGCCGAAATGGAGGTGTAGGCTCATGTGGGTGACTCGAATTTGTGGTCGCTGCATCCTATTTTCTTTTGGGTAAGTCAAATCTGGACTTTTTATGATAAATTTGAATATGATTTCTGTTTTTGGATACATATTTATGTTTGAGTGTGCCATCTAATTTTTGAGTGTTTGATCGCAAAATTAAAGGCTAGAGAACACTTGTGGTGGTTTGTGGGGACTGTGGAGTCAAAGTTGTATATGAAGTACTAAAATGACTAATGACCCAGGTTAGCTTGATTGATAATCTTTCTTTGGTTGAGTTTTCAAATATGTTTTTTTGAAAAAAACAAAAAAAACTAGTTTGGTGAAAAAAATTGGGAATTTTTTTTTATATGGTTCTCTCTTTTTTGGGAAAAAATAAATTTTAAAAATCTAAAAGTATATATTTTTTGGGTTATTTTTGTCAAACTAATTTCTAATATAAAAAATTTAAAAAAAAAAATCTGAAACTGAACCGAACAGAGTATTTAAAATTAGAGTCACCCTAAATTTATTTTAGGAGTGCTCTTGATCCGGTGGTTGGCTGGTTAGTGTGGGTTTAAGTAGAAAAAATAATAGCCAGAGTATTACTTTTTGAGTGTGGTTGGTGGAAATGGAAGTCGAGTGTTTAAAGCAAGCTTGATGGTGGCAGTGACCTGTGAAATGGAGAGAATTTTGTTTGTATATAGTAAGTAAATTAGATAAAATTTAGAAAGTGTGGATCAGCATGGTGAACTAATGAGTAATGATAGAGCCATTATAATTGATTTTGCGGTGGGCCTTGGATCCTTGGATTTTCATAAGTAGAGTAAAGGTTGAAGGGTTAATGAATGGAAGAAGGGTTACAACTGGTCACATGTAGAAGTTTGGTTGTTGGCAATTTGGGGTAAATGCTGTTTGGATTTTGGCTCGGTGAACCATGTGCATCATTGATTTTGTGGTGGGCCTTGGATCCTTGGATTTTAGTAAGTGGAGGAAAGGCTGAAGGCTTTATGAATGGCGAAAGGGTTACAATTGGCCACTTGTATGAGGAGTTTGGTTGTTGGCAATTTGGGGAAAATGTTATTTGGATTTCTGGCAGCAATTACTAAGATGTTTTGGGTGTAAGGTTAACAGCTTATGTGGTAGGAACAATAGCATGTGCTGTATGTGACTTTGAGCTGGTAAGATTGAATAGTTGATGGAGGGAGGATTGGGATTGTCAAAGTAGTTTTTTTTTTAATTTTTTTTATGGGTGGGAAGAGTGATAACAGTGTGCAGAAACGAGCAATATCAATGGTTTTGAAAGCTTATGGAAACTACTTGAAGTGATATCTATTGAATTCAAAAGAGTATGCAGATGTCTATGGACCTCTACGGACTCCCAGTCTTTGTTGGTTACATAGATTGTAAGTTATAAAACTTGCATAAGTCTACTGAAGGAAGTGAATAATAGATCCCCAACCGATAGAACCATGAATAGCTACCACATCCTGTCTAGAAAGTTTAAATTACAAGATTATTTTTACCAATAAATTAGAAAACATGCATAAAACTTTCTACCAGCATTGTAACCAAATGAACCAAAGATGACCCTATAGATCAACTAAAGCATTAAAATTCTCGACATAAACATCCCAACTATACAGTGAGCATAAAAATCTGCTTTTCACTTTGGAATTAACTTCTTGATTCTGTGTCCTTTCCATCGACATGCTCCATAAATGATATATAGGGTGGCAAGTCCGCTTGTTGATCTCCTATTTTCTTTGAGTTTCTAAGAAACTTTTCAATAGAACAAATTTCCTTGCTATCTCCTCATTTCTTCAATTTAGTTGCTTAGATTTTTTAAGGACTCTTCTAGAATAACCCCTGCTTGAAAGTTAAGAGTCACATGGGCTGTCAGCCTTTCACTTTTCTTTTTTTCCAAATCCAAGTGACGACCACCTCTCTCTTTATTTTTAGAGCAACTATTGCCACTTCTTTTCTAATTCCTTGCATTCAAGAGATTTTTCTAGTTTCAAAAGAGTCTCTTTAAGAATAAGTAATGTTTCCGTTAGGAAAATAATGAGTAATGTTTCCAATAGGAAAATAATGTGTTAATCTAGCTTTTTTTCGGGAAGTATCTTGAAGACTTCTGAAGAACAAATAACTCAGTCTTATTGATGTAAACAAATTTTCACAACTTTTGTCATTACATGTGCTTAGTGCCCTATTTTTCACACATCTAGTCACAATCCAGTATTAGTGGGTTGCAATAAATGAACCATATTTCAGAACTTCTATTGAACTTGGAATTAATGGCAGAAAGAGAATTATGTAGCTAACTCTATTTGTCAACATATTTCTGTAATTTGGTTAGACGATGATAGGGATTTATGTGGCCAACAACAATCACTTGGGATGTTGTTTCGTTAGGTTGACAGGAAGCATGTTAGACTTCTTCATGGTGTCATGGTTGAAATAGTTTTCATTTTGGCTTGTCATCTTTCCCTTCTTTCTGGTTACCACGTGTTCCTGTGTGTATATATATATTATATGGGGGTGGGGACTTCAAAAAATCAAGTTTGTGAATTATGTGCTTCTCCAAAATTTGCTTTCTGCATTCACTTTCATTATGTATAAGTTCAATTTGATCCTCTTTTTCTTTGGATGTTGCAGTTACCATTGGATAAAACGTAAAGGAAAACCCGCTCCAAGGGAGACTGCTCCTATTGTTGTATCTAATCATGTATCATATATTGAACCTATCTTCTTTTTCTATGAATTGTTTCCCACCATTGTTGCGGCTGAATCCCATGATTCCATACCTTTTGTTGGAACCATAATCAGAGCAATGCAGGTAATCATTTATCCATTCCGTATATTAAAGTTTTTTTTTTTTTTTTTTGGATGAGCTTATTGTCATTATTTTTCAGATTCAGTTTTGTGCATTCAAGTTAACTAAATTGGATAACAAATCTTTCTTTTTCTCACTTCTCTATGTTTGTAGGTTATTTATGTTAATAGGTTCTCATCATCATCAAGGAAGCATGCTGTTAGTGAAATAAAGGTAGTACATTTCTATGACTTCACTAACTACGTATTCTGATTCTTTTTCTCTTGCTGAAGTTTTCATGAATTCTTTTAGTTATTTAGGATGATGTTGTTACTTGCTTTGTTGTATTGTTTGTCTTGTTATTAATAAATATATGATGATTACTGAAATGTTTTTTTGGTTGTTTTGTGGTTGTGAAACTTGTTTCCTGCAATATATATTGGTTAAATTGCTTGAACTTGACTTTGTTGTTTAAGAACACATCCTAACAATGCTATCAATGGCTTATTGGGTTTATATCTAGAGTTGCTATATTCTTGCTTGAAAAGCTTTTAGAATATTAAGTTTTATCAATATATAAGGTATTTGATATAGAAATGTACTTTCAAGGATCTGAATACAGAGAAAGGCTTCTTCCAATAGATTTCCTCGTTTGCTTTTATTTCCCGAGGGAACAACAACAAATGGAAGACTTCTCATTTCTTTCCAACTTGGTGCATTTATCCCTGGATATCCTGTCCAGCCAGTGATTGTTCGCTATCCCCATGTACACTTCGACCAATCCTGGTAGGAGTTTTCTTTACTTGAATCCAATTTGGTTGAATCGTTTGAAATATCTGACCAAACTGCTTTGTATGGCCTGCCATTTTGTGTAGGGGAAATGTTACTTTGGCGATGCTCATGTTTAGAATGTTTACGCAGTTTCACAATTTCATGGAGGTATGCCGTAGCTGAAGTAGTCCCCCATTGCCTCTGTGACTGAGTGATTAATTTATTTATTTTTCTGAAGTTGCATATTCCGAAAATGTAGTTTAGTGTGTATTTGTTTTCTTGTTAGATTTCTGTATAATAAGGTCTGAGGTGGCAAATCATTTATAGTAATGCCCCGATTTGCTATATCTTTTTGGAAAATTAATAAGCATATGAAATTTAAAAAGCCAAAAAAAAAAAAAAAGAAAAAGGAAAAAGTACCCATATGATTCTCTTCGTGTTTTTCCTTATATTTCTTTGTCATGTTAATAATTTATATATATATCAGGAAATATTATTAATAAAGATTTAGAGAGGCACCATGGGAGTGCAACCTGTATGCAAAGGAATACCTATCTCATCTATACATATAAAGCCTATTCAAAGGCCTCTACAAAATAAAAAAGTTGGTTCAAGGATGGATTGACCATCACTGAAATTAACTATACAAAAAAGGACAATATTCTAGTCTTGATGCTCAAAATAGCTCTTCCTTTCCTTCAAAAGTTCTATTCCGTTCCTCCCTTACCAACCACATTAATTCTAGATGAACCAAACACCAAGTCTTCTTCGTCCTCTCACTCATGCTCCTTTGACCTGTCCATGAACAAAGAAGCTCCCCCACCCTCTGAGGGAACATCCATTTCACACCAAACATGAGGATCAAAGACCATAAATACCGCACCACTTCATACTGAATAAGATGGCTTAGCGACTCATCCATCAGGCTTACATATGCAACACCAATTAAAATGTTCTTGCCTTCTACTCGAATTATCAATAGTAAGTATCTTTCATACATTGCACACCACACAAAGAAAGCTATGTTGGATGGGCCTTTGTAGCCCACACCCCTTTCCAAGGAAAAGAAGATCTCTTATGACCCTCTAGAGTAAAAAGAGTTAAAACATTAAATTGGCTGAAATGTCATCCATCGGATAGAATCTCCTCATTCTAATTCATTTCTTTGAAATCAAATGGTTCTTCACTATTGAAACAGACTACTATAACAGAGTTTCCTGTGTGCACGTAAGTGCTCTCTCTCTCTCTCTCTCTCTCTCTCTCAAATTTATTATACCTGGGGTAGCTGTTGTCTTCAAAAGACATTCATACTGCAAATGATATTTTCCGTGCCAAGAACAGAACATGCCATTCCATAATATAAAGTTGGATAGTTTTAATGGGAGAACAAAGTGTCTCTGAGAATTGAAGTCAACGAGCCAATTTCTGCTTTGGGTAACTTATGGGCAGTGCAATAACAGTGTTTTGGCTTGTAATAGCCAATGTGTTTATTTGTTAATCATCTAATGCTGCAATAAGATCGTGGAAAGAACATTGCAGTGCTTTTACGTCCATATAGCAGATATTGTCTTAGAATTTGCTTCTTGACCTTACATGTGCGTGTATATTTTATAGACCGCAGCAGACAATACTTATTATGCATCAGCTTAGATATACATGCATACAAACAAGGCAACCATACCTATTTAATTGGAATTTTTTGGGACTGCATTACTTGTATTGTATGTTGGTAATAAATTGATTGAGGTTATTTGTTAAATTGTATAGGTGGAGTATCTTCCTGTTGTTTCACCCCTTGAAAATCAAAAGGAAAATGCTGTCCATTTTGCTAAAAGGGTGAGTCTGCACTATTTTATTTATTCTTGCTGCTTCATTGGTTTATTTTGATATAAAGATCATGCTTATACATCAAAGTTTCTTCGCATGCAATTAAATTACATACAATTTTTTGTTGGTTCTATACATTGTTAACATCTTTGTATTTCATATACTTGTTTCGAAAGCAATGCAAAACCTGAGCATGTTTTAACACATCTTATTTATTGTAATTGTGTTTCCGTGGTATATTTCTATTGCACTTGGTCCTATTAACCCAGGAAATGGGAAGTCTGTCTTTTGCGGCATCTGTGCACAAAGAATCAGTTAATTTCTCATTTCTTGACTTTGGATATACAGTTACATTTATTTATGTTTTTTAATGATAAATCTGTGTCAAAATCTTTTCATTCATGAGTTGTTTGCTCCTTGCCTGGTTATTTGGTTCCAAATGAATGCCACACGGTACATGTAACTGCATAATTGACAACCTTTATGTCTTGTATGTGTGTAATTTAATTTCTTATAATTGAAGGAACATTTTTTTGCGGTTAGTCTTATATTTTGCTCTCTCTCTCTCTCATGCATGTTTTTAGTGGCAGTTGGTGCACTGTCTTGGTTCTTAGAATTTTTTCTTTGTAATGTGGGTAAATGGAGAAGAATCCTTGATTTGTTAATATGATGATTATCTAACAGCTGCACTCCATTTTGGATATTTCTTGGTATGCCACAGAGCTGCCTGAAGTATATATCATTCTCTTTGAGTTGTTTATATAGATTATTGAATTTAATCTATCACTTCATGCCTGATGGATATGTGCAGACTGGCCATGCTATCGCTACTGCTCTTAATGTCGTACAAACAGGTCATGCGTACGGGGACTTCATGCTGTTTGCAAAAGCTGCCGAGTCCAAACAGGTGCACTTTTCTTGCTCTGTGTGTCATGTCTTTCACAGTTTATCTTGCTAGTAGGTCTGCACTAATGATCTAGTACTAAATTCAAGCATGTTATAAAGCCCTTGATTTCAGCTCTAACTTAATTTGAGGCCCTTTGTGGCAATGAACCTTGAAAATTGATGTGGTAGATAAAAATGGAAGTTGCAGTAGTCTTCATATTAATGACAAATATATGTTAGTGACAAGTAAATAGTGCTAGGATCTCAGAATATTTTGAAAAGATAAAAGAGGTGAAAAATGAAGTAGAGCAGTAATGAGAAAGTAATGTGCTTGTGAATGGTCTTGTATTCCTTCAATTTCCAGCAAGGAGATCTCTCCATCTAAGCTAGGGTTCAAAAGAGATCTTGACAATGTAAATACAGTACAACTTTAATGTAAATTCAGTACAACTTTAATGTAAATTCCTACTCTATTTTTCTAGTAAACAATGAATTGTCAATTACGGTACATGGAAGAAGAAAAAAACCTGTATACAAGTTCAAAGTTGTAGTTTTGTGGGAAGAGTATACATTCATTGTGCTCTGCATCTTAGATTATGTGGACACTGGTTTGCCAGGTTCAACTTGCTTCCAAATTAGGCTGATACATAGAACTTGAACTTTCTTTGTTTAGTCCTGCAATCTAAAGCTGGAGCCTTAAAATTTTTTCATTAAATCTTGCCTAGACAAAACAGATATTGTTCACTTTGGGGTCCTAATTTTTGGCATTGCTTGGTATGCTTTGCAGGAAAATCCTACACTTTATATGATTGAAATGAAAAAGGTGGAATCGGTGAGTTTATACTTGAATGATTGATACTAATATATTTGTTGTGTTTTGATGTGCATAAACTACTATTTGATTCATATCTCTATATTGTTGTATATGGTAAAAATGATATTCTGGAATGAGTTCTTTTTATGGATCCCATAAACTATAGCAATCTACAAGATACAATGAGAACACTAAAACCATAGAAGACAATGTCACAACTACATAGCTTACTGGCCATTCTCCTCGAGCTGAGAGAGAGGCATGCTTTATTTCTTGAATGCTTAATCATGTCTCTTGCACAAGTTAATGTAACTGCTTTTTGGATGGACCTGGTTAGTTACAATGGTACATATTAAGGAGTATTGTACTATATGGTCTATATATTTCAATATTCACATTGTTTTCAAGACAGAAACTTTGTTGCTCATTGAACTGACTGTCCAACCTTTAAAGACTTCATTATATGCTTTTGCACAATAGGCATTACCTTACCTTAGACCATCTCCAACGGTGAACCAAACCTGATATCAAATTTAAAATTTGGTGAAAAAGTCACTTTTTTAAGCTCCAACGTTTTCACCAAATCGATATCAAATCCAGAATTCAGCAAAAATGGTACCAAACTGAGTGCAGGCGATAAAAGGAACATGATGTTGTATCTTTTGGTTGGAATGATGGTAACAAGATTTATGGACTCATAAACATTGGCTTTTGAAGAATTTTTGGGTGCTCATGTAAGACCCCGAATGCATACTGTGTGGTTCTATACCTTCAAGCTATCTTTTAAAAAACTAGAGAATTACTGTTGAGATGTCGGTTTTGAAACAAGCATCGATGTATAACTATATAAGTAGGGTCCTAAAGTGTATTAATTATGTCTTGGGTTTAAAGCTAAAATCTTGTTATTTATTCTCTGCAAAAATAAATGCCTCCTCTCTGTTGGGGTTTCTTGGGTTGTAATAAAGTACCACCTTATTTATCAGGGGCGGGGAAAAGTTTCACATAATTTGATTATCACAAATTATCTTAAATATTTCTGAAAAGATTGAAGGCAATAATTTTTTTGTAATCTGATGTGCAATGAAAGTCTTTGTATTGATCCTCTTAATCAAATTAATCTCTTTGTGTACAGTATTCTAGTTCATTGTGAATGGATTACCTCCAATTTCATAGTAATTACCCAACTGAAAGGAATATTGAATTGATTTACCTCTCTTGTTTGCCAGACATTCCATTTAAGCAGTTTGGAAGCTATGGACTTCCTGGATACATTTCTTTCCATGAATCCAGATTCCAGGTATGTTGGCGTGAATTGTTAATTTTGGTGATGTTCATATTTTACATGTATTTGTCATGCATGCCTTGATTGTCTTCGCAAGGAACCATTATTATTGCACTTCTAATTGAAGTTGCTCGAGTTGTTCATCTGGCTGTTAGATGCCACCATGCCTACATCATGCAAGTTGCGCAATGCTGTCAACTTTCCTTCATTCTCTAACATAAGATTATTGGATAGTGTGTTTGAATCATGGATGAGTGATGAGGGTTTTCTTTCTCTTTCTCTTTCTTTTCTTTTCATTTTGTTCTATCTTGTGTATTTTTTATTTTATTTTTTTCTAAAAAATTTGAGGTCATTTTAGAAAATAAATGCTTCCATTGAATTAATGCTGCATCCATGCAAATGATGCAAATGTGGGCTTCTGGTGGCTGCATCAAATCATTTTAGATATGCCATTGCTTAATCTGAAAGTATATGGTATTGCTTCTTTTCATTTTTCGTACCTATGGCAAATCCTCGGAAAGTTTGGAATTGATGCTAATCATGAGCGTTTCTGGTTATTCTCCATCATCAGTATGTTGTACATTAGTCGTACTGGATAAACCTGCTGTTGCTGTGAATTTTCTGTTTTTTTTGTTTTACACCTTATTTGAGTACATGTGAGCTCAATTTTGTTTGTTATTGTGACCAAAATAATATACTGTACTGCTTCTAAACTGAAGATTCATACTGTATATCTAAATATGATGAATGTTGTCCTAATTGAATTCTGCAACACTAAAATGCTTTATTTTCTTTTTGAGTTTGTCAAAATACATCTAAGTTCATGTTATATCAATAGCGTTTTAATTGGTGGCAATGCAAGACCACTTTATCTCACTGTTTTCGTCCTTTTTCGCAGTGGACATGTTAAAATCCATGACTTCTCCAGGGTTTTGAGATTGAAGTCTTGCAGCCTTTCTGAAAAGGTCAGTTACTCTTTTATTATTTTATTTTTATTTTTTTAATGGGTAAAAGGAAAATGCAATATTGTATTAACTATGGAGACAAAAATAGGTCTTATGCTATGATTCACTAAAATGAAATGGAATGCTCATTCACTTGCAATGGTGAATAATGATTCCATTTATAATGTTAACCTCCATTTTTTTTTTTTCTTTTTTTAGTGAAATCAAAACCAAACCCTACCTAGAGTCAAGAATGGATGGACATGACACGAAGCATTTGTCATGGAAAGAAAGTAGAGACCTGAGTAAATTGTTTTGGGAAAATAACCAATAAATTCTATTTTGCTCTTAAGATTACTATTGAGTCTTATCAAGTTTTAATGTAGACAATTAAGTCTTATTTTTTATAAAATATTTTCAAAAAGTTTATTGGCCCTGTTTGGTAGAGTTGTGGGAAAGTGATTATAGCATATAACTTACCAGCTTATAACTTATAACTGTGAACATAAGCTGATTTTTGACTTATAAATTAAGCTTCTCCTCCCCCACTCAAAGAATAAGTTGATTTTTGACTTACAAAAAGGTATAAGGGTATTGTTAAGCTGAACCAAACACATCAAAATAATTTAAATTAAGCTAAAAGCTGAAATAAGTTGGAAATAAACCCTACCAAACAGGGCCATTATTCCATAGTGGTGCATGATACTTCAATTTTACCCCTTATAATATGAACAGTAATTTGTTACGTATTTTTAATCCAAGTAAATCATGTTTTTTAATTGTAAAAATTGTGATATTGTATTAAAATAAGAGAAAATTAGTGAAAAGTCCAATCTAGCAATTGTCTAAGGCATTAGGTCCAAGGAAGCACGGGTGCGGGTTACGAGTATAGTACGGGTGCAAGTGCAGGTACGCCGATTCGGCAAAACTCAAAAAAAGTATGATACGAGTACGGCTGCAGTACGCCGATATTTTTTTTTTTAAATATAATTATGATTTAAGGATCCAACCTACAAATTAAAATTAAATATCAAAACTAAAAGAAGAACTACTCATTTTCCTATAATTTAAAATCATTAAGCGTTAAAAATAATATTTGTGAAATCTCTCACTTTGACATGTTATGCACTGTGAATTTGTGATCATAATTTATTTTTAAAATCTTTTTTTTTACTCATCAATTTGCTATTTTTATAGGGTGAGACCAAAGAAATAACAGGAGACCAAAGAAAGGTTTAAAGTTAATTGCCAACAGTAAAGGGAAAAAAATTCTTAATTGGTGCAGGTTGTCAATCGCAATTTGCATAATACATAAAATTGCATCATTCCCAACCACTATTAATCAACTAATACAGTATCAATTTATAATGTTTTGTGCATAAACTTTAAAAGTTTGTTATGATTAAAGATTTTATAAAGAAATTCTAGGAGGGTCTGAAGCAGAAGCAAAAGCATAATGCATAGTCATACACAGAACTACCCTTTATAGGCTTTGTTATTTTTTTTGGTTCAAATTGCTTTTTAAAAACATCAAAATCATTTGCTGATATGCTTATACAATTCATACAGACAGACAGGACAGCAAAGAAACATCAAAATTACTGATCTGCAAGAGCACAAAAAAAATAATAATAATAACAATTGCTGATCTGCAAGGGCAAAAAAAAAAATTGGCCCTGGCATACTCGAAACATACCAATGACGTACCAATGGCGTACCTATACTGTACCCAAATGAACCAAACGTACCAGACCCTCTTTTGCCGTACCCAATACGCATGCCGCCGTATCGGTACGCGTACCCGCACCCGGTAAGTACTCGGTACTCGTACGACACTATTTTTGGAGTACTCGTACTTCATAGATTAGGTCTAATGGATATTTTTTATTAGTGAGAGGTCCACCCTTTGTGAAATAGTTTGGTGAGAAATCCTTTTATTGTTTTCAAGGATTTTTTTTTTTAATTTTACCTCATAATCTATCTATTGATTTTTTGGATTATCTGTTCAATTATTATTTTTTACTTGTTTAGTTTTTTGACTATTTGTTCAAATTCTTTCCCTTATCTGTTCAAATATCTGTCCAAATTTTATTATCTGTTCAATTTTTTTCCTTATCTATTTAAATCTATCTCTCTTCCCACTATCTGTACAAATAAAATTCAAATTCAACAACAACAACAACAACAATAACAAATTTATCTCTATCTATTCATATCAACAACAAAGATTTAATATGTTGCAAATATCTATTTCATCATCATCATTAACAACAACAAAAAGATCACTTCAAACTTCAACAGATCACCCACACACACCCACAACAACACCAACAACAGATAAAGAGAAAAAAGAAAAAAAAAAGGTCACTCCAAATTTCAACAAATCACCTACACACCTACACACACTTCATTAGATCAAACAATAAATTGTTATATTTATAGCAAGCCATAAATATAGAGGTTGGACTCGTCAAACAATAAATTTAAGGATACGTAGACTTGGCAAAAAAAAATTGTTATATTTATATTTTTAATTAAGTATGTGTGATAAAATAGTACTCTATGTAACTTATAGTGTTAAAAAGACATTTATAGCAATTATATAATAATATGTACATATAATAATAGTGTTATATACAATTATATAAAAAGTATCCGTTGAAAAGTATCGAACACATTCCATACCCTTGTTCGAGTGTCGGGTGTCCGACATGAGTATTTGATTTATTTTGAAGAGTTCGTGTAACATAGTTGGCAAGTGATTTGAGCACAGAATATGAATAGCAAGCCATGAGCCAAGCTTGTAACGGAACATGATGCCGGCAATGAAACTGGAGTAATCGATCTATGATGATCTAGATCGAGGAGGGTTGGATTTGGATCTAGATCTGGATTTGGATTTCACAGCTAGTGTCGGATCTGGATCTCATGATGGAAACCGATCTGGATCTCGATGGCTGAAGTCACTGTTGTGGAGGGTTCATAGTTAAAGCGGCGCATGAGAAGTCCATCGACTAATTTTGCTAGAAAAACAACAAAAGCTCAAGCTCTTCAACTCCCCATTGTCGATCAAAAGTTGATTCAACTTTGAATCTCCATCGAACTTGACGAGTTCATTTGCATCGCAGTTGTAGAGAGGGAAGAGAGGAAGAGAGACAACTTCGACGTCAACGACAGCAGAGGGGCAGATCTGGTTGGCAGAGAGAGTGGAGAGAGTGGGGGCAGAGTAGGGGACGCGAGAGAGAGAGAGAGAGAGAGAGAGAGAGAGAGAGAAGAGGAGAGGAGGGGGTGAGTGTTTGGCTCATTTGACCGTGTATACAATATATATATATATATATATGGGTATTCTGATCATTTTGCTTAACCATGTCCTTATGGATAAAATATTTTAGAGTGTAGACTTTTGATCAAACAAAATTCAATTTGGATTTATAGATCGAGTGCCCTTAAAATAATCATAAATCACAATGAAAAAATTATCAGTAAATTCTATTTTGTTTTGAAAATTGCTATTAAATTTTATCATATTTTTATATTAACAAATAAATCTATTTTTTTATCTTATTTTATTTTATTTTATAAATTGTTATAAAAATATTCAATTATTTGTAATAGTATATTTTATTTTAATTTATATTTCTCATTAAAGTATGAAGCAAAAATTTCATAAATATTTTTTATTTATTTAAAATTTTATAATAAAAATATTTTAATTGTTGAAATTAAATAAGCTATAAGTTAAACCAAACACATCAAAATAGCTTAAATTAAGCTGAAAGCTGAAATAAGCTGAAAATAATTTCTGCCAAACAGGCACATTAAGGCCTCATTTGGGAACCCTCCCTTTTAGCCAAAAAGTTATTAAATTAGCTAAAAAGCCAACAACCTATATCAAAAAGTCAAAGATTCTCTTTTCTCTCTACTTTTTGCACATCTTTTCGTAAAAAATCAAAAATTCATTCCAAACATACTAGTTTTTTTTAGCTCATATTTTAGCCAAATAGCTAAAAAATTACTAAACTAGCCTGTTCCCAAACGAGGCCTAAGTAGTTTGGGATTGTGCTACATGAGTGTACTTTTTGACTTTTTGGTTAAGAAAGTAGAGAAAAAAAAAATGTATGTTTGGGATAACTTTTTGATTTTTTACGAAAAGATGTGTAATAAAATATTATAGTATAATTAAAATGACCATTTTCCCCTTTTGACTTTTTGACGGTTAACTTTTTGACTTTTTGGGTAGTTGAATTCAAAGGTTATTTTGCCCTAGTGGCTTCCCCCACAAGCTACTCTTGAATAGTATAGACTTTTTAGCTTTTTAGCAATTTTTTGACTTTTTTAGTTTATCCCAAACAAGGCCTAAGAAATATATAAAATTTTCATAGTTATTTTTCATAGCATGTTGTAATTTTAATAGAATTTAGCCTTTTTAGATTGTTTACACTAAAAAAATTCATAATTTAAATAACAGAAAATAATGCATTTTATACTATGCTTTTTTTGGATCCGTTTGTTATTTATGTGTTTTTAAATATAATATTAATAATTTTTACAATTAAAATTTTAAATTTTAATTAATTTTAAATTGTTGTTCGTATTAAATCATAAGGGTAAAATTGAAATAAGATAGACCATTATGAAGTAATGAATTTTTTGGGAATATTTTATCACAAATAGGAGTTAGTTGTCCATATTAAAATTTGATAGAACTTGATAGTAATCTTGACAGTAAAATAGGACGTATTAGTTATTTTTCCTTTTTTTTTTTTTTTTTGCTTGGTGTTTAACTCGGGAACCTGATTTCCATGGAGTGAAACAAAACAATTGCAATTTACAGCTACTTGATTTTTTTGATTCTATTCATCGCTTGATTTCATCGTCTACCTCATGGAGATTGTTCTGTGTTGTAGATATTTGGACTCCTTGATGTGGAGAAAAGGGGTAAAATAACATTCAAGCAGGTAACAATCTCTCTCTCTCTCTCTCTCTCACACACACACAGTTACACAGAAAATGAAATTTAATATATTGCTGCTTGCAGTTTGTATATGGGTCAGCTCATGTCTTAAAGCAACCGCTATTCAGACAAGCCTGTGAATTAGCCTTCACCGAGTGTCATGCTGATGGAAACCATTACATTGCCGAGCAAGAAGTACATCTCTTTCTTCTCTTTCTTGATATTCTTTTATATTTATTTAATTGGATAAGCTTTAATTTTTGCACTCTTGGTTGGTAAATGCACATGGCACAGTTAGGAGATTCCATTAATCAAGCGATTCCAAACTTGAATCAGTATGAGGTGAGTAATCAACACTCTTATTGGTTCAATAGCCATGTCCATGTAATCCATACATTAATCTTATATTTATAGTTTCGACATTTCCTCCTCCCTTTGCAAACCTTGGAGAGAAGAAAAGAAGAGAAAAGATTGTGTTTTCTCTCCCTCTTGTTTGGATAAATAGGGGAGAAAAGAGAATGATTTATCACCTATCTTTTTTGGTTAAACTCTTTAAAAGAAAAGAAAATAAATTCTTCTTGTTACATTGCCAAAGTAACTTTTTATAGGTGTCCCTTTTTTTATTTCTTCTATAAAGGGCAGTTTTGGTATTATGAAAAAACATTAATTTGTTATCTTTTCTCCCAATCTCTTCACTTTTTGAGAGATTCAACATGAGGGTTATAAAAGAAATTGGTTTCTCTCCATTTATGAAGTAAGAAATATGCATTTCTTTTCTTTTTGGTTCTTTTCAAATCACCCAATTCAAACAAGCTGTGAAAGTTTTATAAACCCAACATGTCTTTCCTACTTAAAGCTTTGTTGGATTTTACATTTGCAGATCCATGAACTCTTTAAACTATTTGATACTGATAATGATGGGAAGATCAGCAAGGATGATTTTAGTACTTGCTTAAGAAGAAATCCACTACTCATAGCACTTTTCTCACCCAAGTTAATTCACAAGAACTTGTCAGAAAGTCGGTGATAAGATGCTAAAGGAATCGTATGATGAACGGTTTGATGGGTTGATTTTTATTATAAGTTTGGCTCTGTGAAACATTTTAGCTTCTTCACAAGAGAGGACTGGAGTGAGCGTTTATATCAAATATTTCACTGCAGGGTTGGTTGTGAAAATTTGACAGAGTTTGGATAGTTCTATTGGGGTTCTTTTTTCTTTTTCTTCTTCCCCCCCCCCTTTCCATTGAGTTATATTTTGTGTTTTGTTCAGTTATAGGCTCAACATCCAGTTCAGAACTCATTGAAATGGACTGAGCGGCATACCGGTGATGTTTTGTTTTGTGTCCATTTTATTCTGGCAAGCGTAATGGGGTGTGTTTGGGATGATTGGTTCTTTTTTTTTTTTTTTCCTTCCATTGAGTTATATTTTTTTGTTTTATTCAGTTATGAGCTCAACATCCAGTTCAAAACTCATTGAAATGTAACCATTTTCAATTTCAAAATTCAAAGAAAAATGGTTTTCATGCTCAAATGCCATTCATGCCATTCGGCAATCTGTTAGGACTTAGAGGAGTTGGTGTTGGTAATATTAATATTAATATTAATTTTAAATAGTTGTAAAAAAAATATAAAATAAAAAAACTCCACTGGAAATAATTTGTGTCCAAACCCGCCCTTGCTACAAACAAATTTCACCCTATATTTTTTTAAAAAAAGTTAAAAGGAAAGGTCATAAATGATTTTATAAGGAAATACAAATAGATAATTTATATGAATTATTTTTGCATAATGACTAGGTGGGTTGTAAGTTGAGAATTTTTTTATTTTTTTTTCAATTTGTCAAATTTAAAATAAAGAGCCTATTAAGATGTCTTTAGTCGCGCAAGTAACACTGTTACATTATTTTGGTATAATAATATGTTTCTTATAATTATCTAAAATCGAAATAGTGTTATTTAAGTAATGTAGAACTAATTATTTAAAAAAAATTATTTTAGTGAAAAAAGTTGATTAATAGATGATAAACTCGTTAATTAGGATGTAATAAATTTATATGAAAAAAATATGCATAATAATTTGGTTGGGTTTTGATATGAGAAATTTTCTCTTTTTGTTTTTAAATTTATCAATTTAGAATAAAGAGCTTATTACAATTACACAAATAATACCGTCACATCATTTTGGTGTACAAATTTGGTAGAATAATCTTTTTCTTATAATTATCTACTATCAAAATTAATAGAGTTATTTAATTAATGTAGAAACAAGAATTAAAAAAAATAATTATCATTTCAGATCGAAATGTTGATTGATGGATAACAAATTGGTTAATTAAGATGTGATAGATGGCAAACTATTTTATCAATTATTTTTTCTTAATTAATTTTTGAATCATTCAGCCGACAAATAGCTCTTACTTTGTGCCTAAACAAAAAAAATAAATTACTCGTGCCATGGTAGATGATGTAACAGAGAGATATTTTGTTCTTGGTTTGAATTTTTGAAAGTATTTTCTGATTTTTTTTTTTGAAAAAATAGATTTAATTTGAAAAAAATTAAATATTAAAAATATTATTTTTAAAATTTATTTCTTCCCTCCAAAAAGATAAAACTACATAAGAATAGTGAGTAATTTTTTTTCATTTTTTCACCACATTAATTTTTAATTTTAAAAAAAAAACTGAAAAAAAATTCTAAAAACCAAACAAAACCAAACATGCCTTATTTCCATTTTTAACTTTTGTTAATAAGTTGGAATGCATATGTTAGCTTTTTCATTTTTTTACGGAAAATGATATATCAGCGTTCGTGTGGTACGATGACATAACAACACATTCTTATTACTAATTTGGATAAATTGGATTTTGCCACCTAAAATTTCAAAATTTTCTCATTTTAACTTTTAAAGTTTTTTTTCTATTAAAAAAAAAAAACTTTGGTCCTATAATTTTATTTTTTCTCAATTTGATCCAACATCTAACGTTTGTCCAAAATTGAATGAATTGCAACCACGTTGCCTCCAATTGAAACCCCACACTCCATCGTCCTCTTCTCTCCTCTAAATCTACTAAATGACAATTGAGTTTGAGAGAGATGTTGCTCAATAATGTTGGTTTGAAAAGGTTATGGTGATTGGATGTGGTTCTGAGATGTTAGTGGTGTCTAGAAAGAAGCGGATATAATGGTGTACTGTTTAGTTGTTGGTGATGACAAATTACCACCATATAGGGGTTAAGGGTTTTAGTGGTTGTTGTTTTGCTGCGTATTATGCATAACAATAATTGTTGTATATTTAATTAAGTTTATTTTAAGGTATAATATGATAATTTGAACTATTCACATTTTAAAAAACATTGAGTATAACACATTTATAAAATTTATGCTGATCGGATATCTATAACCCTTTAATCAAATCACAATTACATGTAGTTTTATATTTTAAATTACACTTACTATTTATTTGTTTACATACAAATGTGATTTGATGAGAGAACTACCGATATCTGAT